ACTATTAAAACACTGTCAGAAATTCTCAAATTAAAGAGTATAGACTAATCAAATTTTTAATAAATATAGCAGAAATCAAATTATCTTGTATAATAATCAATTATTCACTCTCTCTTAATAAAACAGCAGTCATGTCTTCTCTCTCTCTCAAATAAACATGATGTGAGAAAAGTGAGTATCATATTAGATTATAATGACTAACACAGTCTCAGCATGCAGAGCTGTATAGACACAGTACATGCTGAATTAAGAAGCTGTGTAAGTTGTACATCAGTATTAGCATTTCAATGAGAGCTGTGTAATATGAGAGAGCTGCAATTCTCATTCATATGTACAGAGAGTGAATTGCTGAAGTAAGTGTATATATATTGTATAAAAGTAATGCTTTTTAATAGTCTGACCAACTTTTCACTTGAAAATAGATTAATAAACCTCTCAATTGAAACAGTCTGATCAACTTTTCATTTGAAAATAGACTGATAAATCTCTCAATTGAAACAGTCTGATCAACTTTTCATTCAGTGTGTAAAATGAGTTCAAGAGTACACTCAGTTGATGTGGAAAAAGATGTTCTCCCAGATGCTGTTCCTGAGATTGAAATTCTAAAGAGAAGAAAGAAGGAAGAAATAGAGAAACAACAAGTTCTTGAAATACAGGAACTGGAAAAAGCAAGTAAAATTCTTGGAAAACAGTGTCTGAGTGAGAAGAATGAAGAAGTTCTGTTAATTCTTCATACTGAGGCTAGACAACTACAAGAAGTGACCAAGTTCAAACTTGGAATTTCAAATACAATTTAAAAAACATTGAAATCTTCTAGTACAGTCACTGACTCTTTCTCATCTTCTACTTCTTCATCTTCTTCTTCAAATCAGAAGAAAATATATACTCAAGTAGTAAAATCTACTGTCTCTAAACCTGCTATTTCAAAACCTGCTTAAAATTCTGAGAAAACTGAGAAGAATATTACTCAGATCTCTGTTCATAGACAAGAAAAAAAAGAAATGTAAAAAGAGAAGAACTTTCAAATCTTCAGAAATAGAAGACTTATTCTCAAAGTCTCAAATCAGAACCTCTTGCAAAAAAACAAGCTAATCTCAAATCTCATTTTCAGAATTAGAATTGAAATTAATTAGCAGTTCTTTTCTCAGTTAATGACTGATATTGAAGTTCAAAAATCAGTTATAGCTTCAATTGAGTCATCTTTCTTTGAAGATTCTATTATTTTGACTACAATGCCTGAATTCATTGCAGAATTCCTTATTCAGAATAAGAATCTCTGAAAATCAGCAATAGAATCTCTACTGAATACAATAATTCTATCTGAGAGAGATAAAAAGTGAGACAAATTCATTCTTTATAATATTTCAGTTGAAATCTTTGACTGTGAGAAAGAAATACTACTTCTCAAAAATGAATTAGAAGAATACAATTCTATTCAACTGAGAAAAGAGCCTGTATAACTTAATTTAATTAAGTACAGATAGAGCAGAAGAAATGCCTCTATTCTGATATATACAAAGATACTTAAACAATCAAGAATCTCTGAAGTAAGAGTAGCAGATTTGAAAATGAGAGTCTATGAATACAAAGACTCAAGAATGAATCTCAAAGCTCAAACACAGTGTTCAAACTGTCAAAGATATGAACACTTTGCAATCTCTTATTTCAGAGACTCAAAATGTGTATTCTGTGCTAGAGATAATAAAACTAGTGAGCATAAATATGAAACATGCTTAAAAAAAGATGAAATATATTAATATACTCTGCTTAAATGCTTCAATTGTAAAGAAAAACACATATCTAACTCAAAAGAATGTGTATTTACTTCAAGAACTCAGAAGAACTAGAGAAAAGATGAAGCTTAAAGTGAATCTAAAACTGAAGAGAAAAGTCAAGCTAGTAAATCTATAACTGTAAGTTTGAAAAGAAGAAACTCTTAACTATCTAGATCTTCAAACTTCAATTCTTCAACTAAATATAAACAGAATTTGAATTCTCAAACATCTGCTAAGATTAGAGAATTGAGAAATAACTCTGATAATAAACTAGATAGAATGCAAGTAGTTGAGATTTCTACTTTTCAAAATAGTTATAATCTACTATCTGGTGATAGTGATTAGATTCTACTCTATCTTCACTCTCTTTTAGTATGAATGTATAACAAAAATAACAAAAAAAGATTAAAAACTCTTCAAAAATCACATTTATTCACAACAATGTGAATTGAAACTCAAATTACATTTATTCTTGTCTTCAGATTGCATTTGAATAAAAAGTTGATTTTATACTTCTTCAAGAATCAAACTTTGATACTGAGTAAAAGTACATCATTTCTTATTCAAGCTATTACTACTTTCTTTCTGAAAAATCTGAGATAAAATCAAGAGTACTGATCTATGAGAGAAAAAGATCAAGATATTAATTTAATCTAAGATTTAATATTATATCTGACTCTGATATTCTAGTAAGTGATATTATAGATAAAGTGAATGAGTTTAATACTATTCAACTTATAAATATCTATAATGAAAAGTCATTGAAAGAAAAAAACAATATCTGAATAATTAATAGAGAATTTTTGAATATATCTCTTCTAAAAAACTCTATAATTGTAGAAGACTTCAATGCATATTATCTCTGATGAAACTCAGAGTGTATAAGAGCAGTAAGAGCAGATAAACTGATTGAATAAACTTTTAAGTATTTAATAGATTTAGTTAACAAGTCTAATCAATAAACATTCTTTAGAAAAGATATGAAACAGAAATCTATTATAGATTTAATATTCATATCATAAAATCTAATTGAAAAAAGATATATAAACTGATTTATTAATTCAAATGAAATATCAGAATCAGATTATGAAATTATTCAATCTAATATTAAACTGAGTAAAAAATAAAGAAGTGAAAATCCTCTTCTCTCTAATCAGTATAACTTTGAAAAAGCTGATTGAAAAGCAGTTAAAGAAAGAGTAAAACAGCTGAAATCTGAAAGACAGAGTAAGCTCTATTGAAATCAAAGTCAAGATATCTTAAATGAAATGCTTGAGAATAAAGTAAAGCTGATTACATCTATTCTTCTAACAAGTATTAATGAAAATATTTCAAAGAAAAAGTCTTCTAAGTATTTCAAATCTTGATAGAATGAGAATATCACTTCTAAAAGAAAGTAATTAGTCACTGCTAAGAGAGATTGAAAGAATAACTCAATATCTGATGAAGAGTTTAAAGCTATTTAAAATAAATATTTTTCAGATATTAAAAGAGTCAAAACAGATTGCTGAAACAAATTTCTTGAAGAAGTACAAGAAAAAGAAGTTTTTAAAGCCTTCAACTATACTAAAACAAGTGTAAAAGGCCTACGCCGAATAGATCGGTATAATATATAGGTCTTATATAACAAAGAGAAAAACATTAGAGAAGGAAAGAAAGAGAAAGTGTGGGAATCAGTGATCGGGGTGGATATTTATACGCGTACGCGGTGGTGTACGCGGTGGAGCTTCGGGGCGGAAGAATAGGAATTCCGTAGGTTTTCGGCCGAGGATCGGCGACCCAGAATCGGAACGGTAGGAATCTGTGAAGTGTAATGAAATAGTCCATATGATTGATCGGGCGCAGCCCGCCACAACAAGAAGTGTAGCAAAGCTTTCAATCTTAGAATATGAATTTCAGAATGAATTGTATACAGCAAACTCTTTTGAGGAAAAATGTCAAGTTTTTATGAGAATTCTCTTTCAAAACTCATCACATTTATAAGAGAAGAATATGTCATTTCATGAATATATTGATGAAAATAACTGGGAATGACCTGAGCTTACATGTGATGAACTAGAGTCAGTAATATTCTCAAGTTCAATTGTGGTTCGGGAGAACGTACGACCGCCGGATAATAACGCGGCTGCTTCCGAACATGCTTACACTTCTGAAATTGCTTACAAATGTAAAAGGGGCTATAGCGGCCACTAAATTTAGTGTACTGAATATAAGAAGCCAGCATACACCTGTAATTGTACACTGCCTCAAGCAACCTTTGAATCACATCTGATAGCATGTCTAAAAACTGGTGAGAAGCACAGGCTTCTTCAGAATGTGATAATTTCATCTATGAAGCACTTTGTAGTTATCATGTCAGTGTGGTTCTAAAACATCTCAAAAGATAACATATAAAGAAGTGATGAGTGAAAGAGCATCTGATTGATACTGCTCTGCTTGATGAAGAAAAACTCTATACTCAGACAAATGCCATGTATGCAAACAGATGAGATGTGAGAAAAGAAATAAGAGTGATGAACCAGATTCAAAGAAGATCACTCTCTACTTAGAAGAATAAAAAAGAAGTGATCATCACTGAAGTTATACAATGATAACAGAAATCATATCATAATATAATCATATAATGATATACTGATAGACATTATATAATCAATGAGAAACTACTGAAATGAATATCTTCTCTAGTTAATATAAACAATATTCTTCTCTGCTATCTGAACTGAAAGATATGCAGAATCTTCTGAAGAATTTACTCAAAGCAGTAAGAAAAGCAGCTGAGATCACTGAATCAGTAGTGAAACTCTGTATATATATAAGAATTCTAAATGAGATTGAGATCTTGTATACACAGTGACAGACTGAGATAAAAGTTAAGTAATAATTGATATTCAATACAGATCAAGTATTCACTATAAAGAGCTTCATCAATGCAATCATCATGATTAATAAGAATAGAGAAAATCAGCTTATAGACCTGTAACAGAAGATTGAATATTTACACAGATAGATAATCACACTGAATCTGAAGATCTTACTATAATCATTTATAACTTTCTCAGAAATGTACACATTATCTGAGACTGCTGCACAGAATGAGAATCTGAATATGAAATATATCAAGTTAGAAGATCTGCTGAAATTATTAAGCTTTAATAATGACTGAAAAAATGATGCTGCAATCAGCTAGCTAAGTCAGATATAATTATATTATCAGATTAAATATGAACTTACAGACAGACAGTTAACAGAATTTTAATAAGTCTTAAAATCTATCACATTTCTACATGAAAAAGCAAAGTCATTATAAATAACTAATGAAAAGATAAATCTCACAGATCTGAAATAATATTCATTTTTATAAATATAAAATGAGTTTTTCAAATAAATCTTGTACAACTTTGAGAAAGTGAATATATAAGATAAGTGTTATAAATACTTCACTGAATATAGATAAGTAAGTAATCTTATATCATACTTCACACACTTCAGTTTACACTATCTTATATTGAATGAAGAGCTTTGAATATCTTTCTATTTACAGATCTTTATTCATGATCTTATATCTGAGTTAAGAGTGAAATGAAAATACTTAATCTTATAATCAGATACAGTGAAACAAGTATACAATATTCTCATTGTATGAGAATAAGTAAGTCAATTATAATAGAAAATACTGCAATTGAGTATATCTCAGTAGAGAATGAGTAATCAGACTTCTATAATATAAGCTACACACTTAAATACAATGAATTTGAATTTGAATGTTATTACTAAAGTATTAAATCTCTTAAAAAAGAGATTCTCTGAGTGAAAATCTTGATATTATGAGTATCAAGCTTGCTTCAACTGCAGATGCTAAAATCATGATATAAAAGATTGCACACAGCATGCACAGTCAAGAGAGTCAAAAAACTAGCAGAATCAGTGAGCTCAGAGACACTCACTGATATTCTATAAAAAGTCTTCAAAGTGAAAGAGATATCTGTATTAGATGACTCACTGAATTCTATAAATATAAAGAG